CATGGAGGAAGGAGGGCACCGGCTGGGCATGGCCATGGCAGCGGCGGCGGCGGCGGAGGAGGAGGAGGAGGAGGGCGGCGGCGGGGCCGGCTTGCAGCAGCGGGTGCTGATCAACATCTCGGGGCTGCGCTTCGAGACGCAGCTGGGCACCCTGAGCCAGTTCCCGGACACGCTGCTGGGCGACCCGGCCAAGCGCATGCGGTACTTCGACCCGCTGCGCAACGAGTACTTCTTCGACCGCAACCGGCCCAGCTTCGACGGCATCCTCTACTTCTACCAGTCCGGGGGCAAGCTGCGCCGGCCCGTCAATGTCTCCATCGACGTCTTCGCCGACGAGATCCGCTTCTACCAGCTGGGCCAGGAGGCCATGGAGCGCTTCCGCGAGGACGAGGGCTTCATCCAGGAGGAGGAGAAGCCCCTGCCCTGCAACGAGTTCCAGCGCCAGGTCTGGCTCATCTTCGAGTACCCCGAGAGCTCCAGCTCGGCGCGGGGCATCGCCATCGTCTCCGTGCTGGTCATCCTCATCTCCATCATCACCTTCTGCCTGGAGACCCTGCCCGAGTTCCGCGATGAGCGGGAGCTGCAGGTGCCCCTGCCCCCGCCCGCCAACGGCACCCTGGGCCGCGAGCCCGTGCCCGCCGCGCAACCCCCCAGCGGCCTGTCGGACCCCTTTTTCATCGTTGAGACGACATGCGTGATCTGGTTCACCTTCGAGCTGCTGGTGCGCTTCTTCGCCTGCCCCAGCAAGCCCGAGTTCTCCAGGAACATCATGAACATCATCGACATTGTGGCCATCATCCCCTACTTCATCACGCTGGGCACTGAGCTGGCCCAAGAGCAGCCACAGCCCGGGACTCCTGCCACCAGCAACGGGGGCCAGCAGCAAGCCATGTCACTGGCCATCCTCCGTGTCATCCGCCTGGTCCGGGTCTTCCGGATCTTCAAGCTCTCCCGGCACTCCAAGGGGCTGCAGATTCTGGGTCAGACGCTGAAAGCCAGCATGAGGGAGCTGGGGCTCCTCATCTTCTTCCTCTTCATCGGGGTCATCCTCTTCTCCAGCGCCGTGTACTTTGCTGAGGCCGATGACCCTGACTCCCACTTTTCCAGCATCCCTGATGCGTTCTGGTGGGCGGTGGTGACCATGACCACAGTGGGCTATGGGGACATGAGGCCTGTCACCGTTGGGGGCAAGATTGTGGGCTCCTTGTGCGCCATCGCTGGCGTGCTGACCATAGCCCTGCCCGTGCCTGTCATTGTGTCCAACTTCAACTACTTCTACCACCGGGAGACTGACCAAGAGGAACAGGCCATCCTCAAAGATGAGGCCAGTGGTGCCCATGGCAGCTCGGCCGAGGGGGAGCTGAAAAGAACCGGCAGTAAAGACTCTCTGAGCAAATCTGTTGTGCACTTGGAAAACTGTGAAGGGATCAACAATGGCACTGGCTCCTTAGAGAAAGCTAATATCAAAGCTAAGAGCAACGTAGATCTCAGAAAATCGCTGTATGCGCTCTGCCTGGACACCAGTAGGGAAACAGACCTGTGAGAAAAGGCACGGAGTCAGAGAGACAGCAGGGTTTGCTGGTATTGGAACCATTAATGATGTTGTTGTTGTTGTTATTGTTGTTGTAATTATAATTTTGGTACCACTTAGTACATTAAGTTTGACTATATTTTATAACTGACCACTGGTCTCAACAGACCTCCAAGAATACATGTTTTTATGTTCTTTTTCCATGACACAAAGGGTCACCTATTTTTAAAATAGACTAAGAATAAGTTACTCTCCATGATGCAGGAGCTGGTAAATTATTACAGTGCAAATGTAATTGGTAGACACTGATTTTAGCAAACAGTGGCTTTAAATGGGTCGCATAACCAATTCACTTGCTCAAAGTTTATTATTAAAGGGTCGGAAAGGTGTGCTTGTGTATGGAGGGTGAATGGATTTTTCCTTTTGGTACTGTAGTTTCAAACTGAAATTATCTTGATATATTTTGTATCTGTATAACTGTATTTATGGGTGAAAGGAGATTATTTTTTCCTGTGAAACATGACTTCATTAAAGCACTAGAAATGTTAGCTATGATCCACTATCAGATTTCTCCTTGTGATCAGTTCAGATCTGGTTATCTAGTTTGTGAAGTGAATTTGGTGCTTTTACCCCTACAACAGAAAACTTTGCTGTTGATAAAATGTTAGTTTCTTGTGAGCCTTAATTTATTAAATATTGTAGATATGTTTCTTTATAAATACTTTTATTAACAATCTCACTGTTTCACAATTTTGAATAATTCAATCCTGTGCTTTCTATCCCAGAAAAAAGTATGCAGCTTATTTATTTTTTGTAGTTTTCTACCATTGGTGCATTTGCAGGATTTTTTAAATATTGGATTTTGTTTACTGTTACTATTTTTGATCCAAGTGCACAACAGATCAAAAACATTAAGGGGTGGGTGGTAATAACGTGAAAGCGACTTACTGGTGCAGTATCTGCAAAAGTTTTTGTTTTTTTATTTTATTTACACTCCAAATTCCTTTAAACACATGTATCGGTCACACTGCAGATCTGTGCTGCTTTTGTAGACGGCTCACTGTTTTTAATTATTACACTTTGGAAAAGGATGGCACATAAAGAATCTGACATCACATGGCTTTTAGCTTGGACTGAGATGGAAAGAATCATCTTTCACCAAAATGAGTTCTGTCTTCTTTTTTTTCCCTTTAATTTCAATACCAAACCTTTATAATGCTATGGATTTTACAATTTACATATTCTTGAATGGCAAATGGAAAATTATCTTCATCTTGATAATATGGTACTGTAAAGCAACTGTTGTGAAGACTGACATGAAGCTGATTCATTACTTTTAAGTCTGCATTGTAAATTTTATTGCAAAGGATGCACCTTTTTGCAAATTCCTTTTGCATTCCTGAAGGATATTTGATGCCTTTCCTATGAACAGTGGCACAACAAGAGTAGCAGATGATGGAAGAGAAGTCTTTGATTACCGACAGTCAAGGTTTGTTTTTATCAAAATTTATGATGCATTTAATATCTTATGCAAGGAAATAAAATATATGCACAGAGATAAGCATTAAGCAGCCTCACAAAATGGTCTTTTAACATTCCAGACACAAATGTTTGGTCATCCATTCTTTACCATGATGATTAATGACAAGGGGGGAAAAAAGAACAATATTTTTTTCCTTCTCATTTGAATAAAAATATACATGCCAGGTGAGAGGACTGATAAAACGAAGCATGTCCAAGGGCCCAATCCAAAACCTGGGGGAAGGGGATGTAGGAATTTACCTGCAAAAGGAAGGCAGAATTCTTTTCAATGTTAGGACTGAACATTTGTCCTCTAAATTTGGTGTGATGCTGCTGTATATTGACAAATAATTCATCATAGATGTGACAAATAAAGGGCCTGACTGTGACGCATTCATGTGACAGGCACATCCCTTGACCCCGCCATGCTTCATCGGGAATTTGCCTCTGTAAAAAGTGTAGGATTGGGCCTCAAGGAAGATAGAATGTAAAGTTAAAGGACTGGGTAGTAGTGCAGTCTGCTAGTTGCAGGGTTTTTTTTTTAAGTTTTGAACTCCCACTTCAACCTTATCGAGCTGCTTTTTGTCAAGCAAGTAGTCCCTTTGGCTTCCACGAACCCCTTTTGACCCACCAGAATAAGAACTACTGCACCAAGCGAGGCTCAAAGGATCTGACTCACAACCACAACTTCCTGTCACTGTTACCTTTGTCCTCCCTTCCTTATGTCGTCCATTGTTGATTGTCACACCATGGTCCTCTCTTAAATTAAACTGTAAGCTCTTCAGGGCAGGGATCATCGTCATATTCGCACAGTTCCCTGGGAAACAACGGAGCCCTGATCCTCTGGGTGCTAGCAAAGTACAAGTAATACATACTAGTAACCACAGTCAATCGAGTAACACTGATCAGGGTGGGAGGAGAATCAGACCTAATGAGTTGGGAAGTAGCAGAGGGCTCAGTCTTGAGAGGTGCTAAGTGCTCTTAACTCTAAATGAAGTCAGTTGGTCAAATTCTACCCTCAGTGACTGTACATGCCATGCTGTAACTGAGAGCACTGTTTGCCCTAGAATGAGTTGCATGTACTTAGCACCCATCAAAGTCTAGATGCAAAGGAGTCTCTTTAGAGTTGGTCAGAAATCACTCTTCCTCCTTTCAGCTTTGAAAATTCAAACAGGTAATTTGATGTTTTGTGTGTGTGTGTGTGGCATTTGACTGTCTTATTTCTTCCATAATAAAATGAAAGAAGTTTTTAATAAACAGAAAGGCGAATATTCCTTCCGGTCCAACCACAAATGTTTGCTTGGGTTGGCTTCTTAAACCAATTGTCAGTCCTATGTTTTGATCTCTGGTTTGGTATCTTCTTTCCTAATAGCAAAGGATTGGCTTTATAAAGAGAGAGTTCCTGCAGTGTACTGACTAGTGGGATTTAAGAAATGCTGAGGCCCCAGTTCAGCAAAAAAGAGTTTGTTTAACTTTAAGCCCATGCTGAAATCCACCCTTTTCAGCCAAGCATTTAAATATGTGCAACTACTCATGGGCTTAAAGCTAAGTGTGTACCTTAGCAAGGCTTTAGAGAATCAGCAATTCTCATGGCCTTCAGTATAAGGAATTAGATACATAGATGCCTTTAAAGTGTTCGGCATATGCACTGCTGAGCCTGAAGTGATGTATGACATACCAGAATCAAAACAACAATTTCCTATTGCAGGATGATTGCCCAATCCTGCAGTCTTTGCTCTAAGCATCATTCATTACTCACAAAAATATTCACTGTGAGAGCAATAGTACTGGCCACACCAGCAAGGATGGCTTACGTAAATAAGAGTTGGTAGCCTGGCCCTGTCTGTGAATATTTTTCAACAAATTTCCAAATGCAAGGTCCTGGTTCTGTTCCCATGTACTTTAGTGGCAAAACTATTCACTGATTTCATTGTGGACAGGATCAGGCATTGGGTCCTAGCACCTGGGTTCGCAGGAAAAGAAGAGCCATGAGAATTGTTACAGAAGTGCTATTTTGCACCCTTTGCTAGAGCAAAGGAAGTGAGGGGAAAGGGAAGAAGGAGAATACTGATATGAGAAAGTTAATGTATTGTAAGTGACACAAGAAGGGACTTAATGTTTTTTTTCTCTACTGTGACATTCATTTCAGGAAGGAAATCTCTCCAAGCTGCTTTGATTTTATGTTAGCTGTCCTGGAATTTAAAAAAAACTGAATTAAACCCTCTTTAGAAGAACCCAAGCCACTTAATGGAAGAGTTTATTAAAATAAATGAATGCAAGTTTGACGAGTGATTTCCTGTCAAGACTTTTGGACAGTGTTCTCATTATGCAGCCACTCATGTTACTTTATTTCCCTGTAACTCAAACTTGTGATTGTTATTAATGATGTGTAATTTGGGACAGGATGGCAGAGTGCATTTAGGATGCATTAGCCCTCCATTTTTGAGATGCTGGACTGAGTCTTGTTTTGGGTCTCCGCTTGCTCAGCCTCATCTCAGGGGACTTTCCTTCACATCACATACAAGGTAATACCGTCATGATAAAACTGATGAGATTGCAATCAGCAGCAAACATGCTTTATGGGCAATGGGTGCCAAATTCCTTTCCTACCTGCAAAAGGTGTAAACAGAAAATGCTGAGTTAACAAAAATGTTTGTGGAGCAGGAAATTTTTTATTTAAGACACCATTACTTTTTTCTGCACTGGGCTAGTGGTGGTGCCTAAGTGCCTGTTGGCAGTGCCTGACGCTGACATGTAAATCAGGGTTCCTTTCACTGTGGTTCGCAAAATATAATGATGAGGATACTCATCTTCCGTGTTGCTGTTTGCTGCTGCATGCTGACACCTAGCAGCAGCGGCAAGGCTGGGTTTGGTGGCTGTGCAGCCACTGGCTCTCAGCCAGTATTTGCACTTTGTGACCTCCCCAGTAGGGTCGCTGAGCACAGAAGGACAGTTAATGCTGCTTCAAGCAGCCTTAACAAATCCCACTTTGTGTTTTTTTCCCCGTTTATTTGTTTTGACTATGCTAAAGGAACATGATGCTTCCAGCAGCTGTTTCCTGGTTTCTCACATTATTTCCCTTGACAGTTCCCCATTTCCCTGTGTGGTCCCATGGCTTATGCCACACTGGTATACAGAGTGGGAACATTCTCGGGTAGCTTCCTTTCCTCATATTGATGCTTCCCTCTAAACTATTGAGCAGCAGGGATGTTAGCTAGAGAGACAGCTCAGGATTTGGTTTACTCAGGGGAAAAAATGCCTTGGTTTAGAGCATGGTGATGATTTAACATTACAGCAACACTGCTCAGGAGTAATGAGTAACTATTCATCTGAAACAAGTAGGGATAGTTTGGTAAAATGTAATTAACTGCATTGAAATGTGGCCAGGTTAGTAGAGTTGGTTTGACTATTTTTTATTTTAAAAATGAAGTGGGATCTTTACAGAGCTAGTTGGGACCTTGATTTTATAATATATCCAAATGACATAATGCCATAGTTTGGCTGAGTTAGTAATCTGTGCTCTGGAAAGACCTTTAACTGTAATGAAAAGGATGACTGAGTTCAAGATTGAGGTGCTGTGGGGATAGTGTGAGGTTAAGCTTTAATAGGAACTGCTTGCTCTAAGGCTCACTCTTGCTACTGTGATTTGTCCTTCCTTCTATAAGCACTGACCTCCCCTCTCCAGTTAATTTAGCTATGACTATTTTTTAATCAAAAGTAGCAGATATTACATAATGATAATTATTCTGTTAAGCAGTATCTCATATTTTGCAATAAGCATGCAACATTAAAGCTACTAAAACTTGTATTAACATTGATATTAGTACAACATTTCTCTCTTACCATATTGGCACATACTCTCACCTCGCTCAAGTCCTTCAGCTTCTCCAGTTCCAGCTGTTTTCACCTGATTTTAAGCTCTGGTCATGCAAGTGCTTGCCATGGAGCGTAGTGTTTGCTACGTGACAAGAGTGGGTCTGCTCATGGTTGTAGCAAACACTGTACCTTCTCCAGTAGGGGCCCACAGGAAATCTCTCTCTCTGTCCTATAAGGCATCATGTGAAACACTGTATAAATAAACTGCCAATAATAAGCATAGCTATTGATAAATCTTCTAATAACGTTGTGCTATTACTAGTATTGCTGGTAATAATACTATTTATACTAGTATTAATAGTAATAATGCTGCGGCTGAATAATTCACTGACACTGATTTATAAAGATAAATATGAACTTATTAAAAGGAAGGGAGAAAGCAGCATTTTTGTAGCATTAGTATTATTTCAATGCAAATTCTTGTTCCTGTAATCTAGTGTTCTTATTTGGTATACATCAGTTCCCACAAACCTATGCCTTACTTATTGATAATTATCTAGGGGAAACCATCCTAAATTAAAGAAAACAAAATAATATCACAGGCCAGATCCTTAGTTGTTACAAATTAGCATAGTTTCATTGAAATCAGCTCAGTAATACCAATTCCTGGTTTACAGCATATCTTTGTACACAGTCAGCACTGCATAACTTAATCATTTCCCCACCATAAATGGAAAGGACTTGATTTTGCATTCACCCCAACTGTATACACCACATACTCATGCAGAGTTACACCCCAGTTACAAGAACGTAAGTCAAATGACTGTCCAGACCTAATGTCAGCGCAAGGAATCCTGCTGTTGGAAGATGTGTCAGTCTGCCTTCCAAAAGCATAATGCCAGTTTATGATTAAAGGTTTGTCCACCCTTTGAATTTTATTCATGGACTGAATGTCAAATATGGATGTACCAATTTTGATTTTATTTACTCCAACATGAATCCAAAGTAACTCCCCTGAAATCCATTGGGTATGATTGCGATCTCACTTCCACTGCTTTTGTAGATGTGTATAACTCCATTTGCTTGTCTGGTGTTACTCTACATTTGCATCAGTTTAAGCAAGATCAAGATCAGGGAGGTTGACTTCAGTGAAATTGTGTTACCTTGGATTTTAGTTGTGTGAGCGCCAAATTACAGCTAAGAAATTCCTTGCCTGGCAGGACACTAATCATCTTCCTTACTGAAAGAAGTATTATCTAAAGCATGTTTCTGTTTCTGTTTAAGGACTGGATTCACAGATAATCCAAATGATTACT